GCAGATGTCAAGTGCTGTGTGGCAGCCGTAAAACGTTGTCCCGTACTTTGTGTTTTTATATTTTTCTGGTTCCAGCACTTTTAAGTGTTGAAAATTGAGTACCGCTCAAGCCGTTGCTAGTTGACGTGATCGATGTTGCATATTTTCTTTACCCTTCATGTACAGACTCAATCAAACCGAGTGTACAATATTTTCATGTTATTTTGCTGTTTAAGATGACTTTGAAACTCATGAAATTTTCGAGGTATGCAATTTTTAGCTCACCTGTCACAAAGTGACAGGGTGAGCTTTTGTGATCGCTTTTCGTCCGGCGTCCGTCCGTCCCTAAACTTTTACTTTAAATGACATCTCCTCATAAACCACTAAGCCAATTTCATCCAAACTTCACAGGAATGTTCCTTTGGTGATCACCTTTAAAATTTGCTCAAAGAATTTAATTCCATGCAGAACTCTGGTTGCCATGGCAACCAAAAGAAAAAAAACTTTAAATATCTTCTTTTTAAAATCCAAAGAGCTAGAGCTTAGATATTTAGCATGAAACATCTTCTAGTACGTGTTTACCAAGTTGTTCAAATAAAATCCCTGGGGTCAAAATTGGCCCCGCCCCAGGGGGTCATTGATTTTCCCTATATGCATATAGTAAAAACTTAAAAAATCTTCTTTTAAAGAACCCAAAGAGCTAGAGCTAAGATATTTAGCATGAAACATCTTCCAATGAGTGTCTACCAAGTTTGTTCAAATAAAAGCCCTGGGGTCAAAAATGGCCCCGCCCCAGGTGGTCATTGATTTTCCCTATATGCATATAGTAAAAACTTAAAAAATCTTCTTCTAAAGAACTCAAAGAGCTAGAGCTAAGATATTTAGCATGAAACATATTCTAATGGGTGTCTACCAAGTTTGATCAAATAAAAGCCCTGGGGCTAAAATTGGCCCCGCCCGGGGGTCATTGATTTTCCTTATATGTGTATATCAAAAACTTAAAAAATCTTCTTTGAAAAAACCTAAATAGCTAGGGTTTAGATATTAACTTTTAAAGCATGAAACATCTTTTAGTGAGTGTCAACAAAGTTTGTTCAAATAAAAGCCCTGGGGTCAAAATTGGCCCCGCCCCGGGGGTCATTGATTTTCCTTATATGTGTATAGCAAAAACTTAAAATCTTCTTCGAAAAAACCCAAATAGCTAGAGTTGAGATATTAAGCATGAAACATCTTCTAGTAAGTGTCTACAAATTTTGTTCAAATAAAAGCCCTGGGGTCAAAACTGGCCCTGCCCCAGGGGTGCCATTGTTTTTAACTATATGTGTATAGTAAAAACTTAAAAAATCTTCTTTTAAAAAAACCCAATGAGCTAGAGCTTAGATGTTTAGCATGAAACATCTTATGGGTGTCTACCAAGTTTGTTCAAATAAAAAAACCCTTGGGTTAAAATTGGCCCTGTGGGGGGGAGAAGGTCATTGTTTTTCATTATATGTGTGTAGTAAAAACTTAACATCATGAAACATCTTCTAATGTGCCTATATACAGGTGAGCGACCTCAGGGCTATCATGGCCCTCTTGTTCTATGTTAAATTACAATTGACATAAAAAAATTGCATATCTAGAAAATTATAATTAACATGAGATCGGTTGTCAGATTGTTCTGACAATAACAAAGGAATAAATAGAAAATGAAAGTAAATTATTTGTTTGCATCAGAAACAATTACAAATGTTGCTCTTATCAATTTCATGCGCTCTTTATTTTCAGCTTTCATCAAAGGCAAAAAATACAGTAGAACATTCATATTAGGTAGAGACAACAACTCTCATGTCCAATTGTTACGTCATAAGCGGCAACACGATTATTGAAAGTTTTGATATAGGTAGACTTGGGGGGATTACATGAGGTACGGGGTAACATTTTACAATGACAAAAAGACACGTAAGACCTACACTTAAGTAATCAACATTTGTTATAAAACACATAAACTAAACATAATCATTAGCTTTATCACGGCACGGGAGGGGGACTGTTCTTGGAATGGAGTTCTAGTGATAACTTGTCAGGCGTTCTTGTGATAACTTGTCAGGAGTTCGTCGGCAAATGTTTGTATATATTACAAAAACACTCGTCAAAAAAAGTAATTTTCATCTTTAAGAAGTGAGTTTTATATGTTAAATATAACTTTAAAGATTAAGCTTGCCTTACATCTTGTTAAATGTGTCAAAAACTAATTCATAAACAATTCTTCGTCGCCTCCTCCTTTTTGTGTAAAATTTCCAAATTATTTGCCAATTCGAACGTAATGACCTGATTTTTCTGGTCTCCATCCTTGCCATTCATATTCTTTGCTGAATATCGATGACTGCTGATTAAATTTTTGATGTAACTGGTAACCTATCACCTGTTTATCCTTTGCAGATACTCAATATCAACATTATATATCCTTATTTATGTGCAAAGGATGAGCGAACAGCGTTTAATAATGACTTACAACCTTATTGAAAATAATAAAAAAAAAACGCTAAAAATCTCGCTAAAACGTGCCGTGATTAAGCGCAAGAAACACACTGGAAGTCACAAAAGTTATCACCAGAACCCTGGAACACATCTCGAAATAAAACTATCTATAACGCAACATAAATAGCATGTTAAAATGTAGCTCGCTGCAACTTCCAAATTGTTTTTAATCAAGTAAAAACAATGCATTAAGTACTGCTTGAGAGACAAAACACATACGATCGCCGTCCTATTGTTATATATTATATTATATTGTTTATAATATTTAATTTGATCTTTATATTGCAAAAAAATGAAGTCATCAAAATATTAACAAGTTAGAGGGCAAAAAAATGGCAAACGTTGCATTTATATTAGATATATTTTCAAATTGTAAAAGAGAAACATTTTTCAGCCAGATCTAGACTCGTAAATTAATAAATGGTAAGCCAACAGACAATCCAGTTGTATAAAAATGTCTATCCCATCAGAATCAATTTGTGTCTGAAGTTTTACTTTCATATGTCTGATTGATATATAATTGTTTATGGTGCTTATCATACATAACTGTCATCTACATTGATAGAAAGAAAAAAGAACATTGTTCGAGATATTATGACATATTTTATGGACACTTGACCGAGCTAAAGTCAGTAGGGCAATGAATCTGGTCGAATAATTAAGATGTACTGTTAAAACAATTAACTGTTGCGAACTTTTTAATGAATAACACCCTTGTTTGCATTAATAAGTGACGCTATCTGATTTTGTGTGTTTGGTTGGATGTTTAAGCCGATCTAAAGTAGTCTCCTCTCGGCTATCAATTCTTCTAACCGACTTTGCTAAATAACTTTATAGTAATCTAGTGGCCAACAACTAATTCCACTTTATTTCTAAATCACAAAAAAATCAGGTAAAAAACAAGTGACCATTAATCTGTATGTCCGAAAGCAAATAAGTGTTGTTACGAAGAAATTTTGTCCTAGAATCGAGCCAGTAACCCAGATCCACTTATCAACCCTTGGATAACATCAAATGATGTTACTTATTAGCTAACCTTGAATGATGTCATCAATGTACAAAGACCCACCATCTAAAGATCAAAGGTTTTATGGAATAAAATAAGGTTTCTTTTATTGAGTATATAATCTGTAATTAATAAATATCCTTTGTGAAATTGAGTAGATACGCTTACACCTTCTGCACAATCGAAGTAAAATAAATTATGTATATCTGAATGATAATTATTATCAAAATAATGCATTATTGCATTATCGAATATATTACATAATTTTGATTAAAGTATTAAGGTTTTTGTATCGACGATGCGCAGTGTTTAAGTAAGTATATAAGTATGTTCTGCTCTGTTCTGGTCTTCTCTTAAAACATTAAACGTTATGTGCCTAACATCGGCCGCCTTCGTTGTCACAGTTGTGGTTCAACTGTTATTAGCTACAATTAAGTAAAAGACTTTGTTTTGTATACAACTTAGACACTGATCCATAGAAGCTGCTTTTCTAATTTATTTACTTTCGTCAGTTCCAATAAGTTAATCAAATTTATAAGGCTTGTGACTCATTGTTATGTCGGACTATAATATTTGTCAGTATTTCTTCTCATTTAATTATTCAAGTTTGTGTCTTATCAATATACTTGTAAGGACAGATGTCATATTTGATATCCCCTGATACAAAAGTAAATTTCTTCCTTTTTGTACTGTTACAATATCTATGGGAAAAATTGGAATTTGTTCGTCATTCTTGATGCGTGACGATATTTTGACTGTTTCTCGTGCAAAAGTGTGTGATGAAAGTACATTGTTTCAATCTCCTCCTCAAAAGTATGTAAAGGGACCTCTATCAAACAAAAGCATATGTCAAAAACATCCAGAACTATTCTTTTCTTATTTTGAGATAGAAATAAAATCTTCCTAAAAATGATAGTCAACGGACAATATAAAAAATATTATTAAGCTTTTCGTTACTATTGACTCATTATTCCTTGACTTAGATTTAATTCAGTGGTCTATTGAACGTAAAACATCATATTTAAACTGGAAAATCAAAGAAATAAATATTTTATAAATAAAGTCAACACAGAAATACAAAGATGTACTTTAAATGTATTGACATGACCATTGACTCTTATAAACATACCTGGTACAATGTCGAAAGATTTGTTATTTGTATTTAAATAGTAAATTTGGCTATACCTTTTTCATATTGCTCGATATACCAGCATAATTTAAATGTCTACAGGAAGAACATGTTCCGAAGTTACAATACAGTGCGACATTCATATTGAATAATTATTTCAGTAATTTGCTGTATTTAATAGTGAAATCGTTTCGTAGTATTATAAGTTATTATCAGAACATTGTGTATGGAGGATCAGGATATTGTGTAAGATGTATTAAAGATATTGTGAATGAAGTTGTCAGGATATTGTGTATGGAGTTGTCAGGATATTATGTATGGAGTTATCATTACACTGTGTAGGAGGTATCAGGATAATGAGAATGGTATTCCCAGGTATACAGAGAAAACTTTTACTGATTTCTGGTGACATTGAATCAAACCCTGGTCCAGTTTCTGATGACAGTGAGACGAGAATACTAGAAGCCATTAGTGCACTTGATCATCGTTTAATGAGAGAGCTGCATGATGTTAAGTCAGAAATGTTGTCAATTAAATCTGAGGTAGCTTTAACAAAAAGTGAATGTATCGAAAATAAAAAAGAATTATCTAAACTTAAACGGTATCACAGTGAGTATGAAAAAGAAGTGTCGAAATTAAAAGGTGAAGTCGATTTTTTGAGAGAAACCAGAGAAAATCTACAGTTAGATGTTGAATACCTTAGTGATAAAATTGATAGGAAAATGGAAGAGTTTGATGAAATTGGTAATGACATTGATTATCTTGAACACGAAGCAAAGAAGAGCAATTTAAGAATTTTTGGTTTAAGCGAAACCAACAGTGAATCTATCGGTAGTCTGAAATCAAAAGTTATTAAAGAAGTGCTTAATGTTGCAAGTCCTGATGAATCGTGGATACCTGATGATTTGAAATTTGTTTCAAGAAAGGGTAATAAAGCGGAAGGTATTTGTCGCATGGTGCTAGTCACTTTTAGGTTTGATGATGATAAGTTTAAAATTTTCAAAGGAAGAGATATACTACGGAACAATGGGATCAGAATTAGTGATGATTTAACGAGAAGGCAAAGGCAAAAACTGAATAAACTTAAAAGTGAGGGGAAAATGGGTTATTTTTATAAAGGTCAATTGAAATTGTTTGAAAAAAGTGGCAAAAATACTAAATCGAGTCAATCTGAAAATGAAAATGATCGTATCTTTAGAGTTGGGAAAAGAAGGGACGTAACTGAAACCAGAGTCGATATTGGGAACCTATCTATGCGAAACATTCAAACTAATATGACTACTGAGAACAACGAGTTGACTGATACAGAGAGTTTAAATGAAGTTTCTTATATATAGGATAATGGCCGAGGCTCAAACAATGACATATCTTTGAACTGTTTATGTTGGAATATAGAAGGTTTTTGTAATAAGACATTTGATACTGAACTTAAAACTTTTTTACATCAATACGATATAGTTGTATTTTTAGAAACTTGGCTAACTGACCAATCACATGTTGAATCCTTTTTACCAGAATATGATTTATATTTTGTATCAGGTATAAAACATGCATTAGCAGGAAGAGCAATGGCAGGTATTGTTGTTTTTATTAGAAAATCATTTAGCAAGAATGTGACACGAGTCTTTCATTATTGTGATTTTGGTGTATTCCTAAAATTAGATGAGAATGTTTGTAAATGTGATAAGAGTATAATTATGGGTTTTATATATTTACCTCCGATATCTTCCCCATTTTATAGTGGGAGAAGTCGGAAAGGTATTGATATGTTAGAAGACATTATTATTAATTTGATGCAAGATGTCAATGCAGAACTTATTATCTGTGGAGATTTAAATGCACGAACAGCTGATAGAAGCGACTGTTTGTATACATGTAAATATTCTTTTGATATAGATGCATATGCTGATATTTTTGAAGACAATACTTTAGGTCCAAGAATTTCTTGTGATAAAAAAGTTAACACATTTGGTATAGATTTATTAGAATTATGTAAAACGTATATGTTACGAATAGCAAATGGACGGTTGTGTAGAGATCAAAACAAAGGGGATTTTACATTTGTTAGTCACCAAGGTTGCAGTGTTATTGATTATTTGTTATTTTCGGATAGAATTTTAGAATTCATAACTGATTTTAATATTGAACATAGAACTGAGTCGTCGCATTTGCCATTAAGTTTTGAAATTGAATGTCAAAATATCGACAGGGCTATAGTAAATAAAGTTTTTGATAAACATACCAAAAGAAACAGGTATATTTTTACAGACACCAATATAACTACATTTCGTGAAAAATTGGCAGAGATTTTATCGCCAGATTTTATAAATCAATATATGGTAGAAATAGTAGATAATTCGAAACCATTAACTGAAATAATATCTAAATTTAATGATGTACTTTATTACAGCGGCAAATGTTGTTTAAAAAGGTCAAAAATTAATCATAACACACAGCCTAAATGGTTTGATAAAGAATGCAAATCGTTAAAGTATTTAAAAAATAACAGACTTCGTATGTTTAGGAGAAATAGATCGGAAGAAAATTTGAATAATTATTTATCGGCTAAAAACACATTTAAACAGACGTGTAATTTTAAACAAAAAGAATTTTACAATAAACAATTAGACGAGCTTATAGATTCGTCAAATAGTACAAAATCATTCTGGCATAAACTTAAAGGTATGTGTAATAAGAAAGCACATAGTTCAAACTCGATTACTTTAAACGAATGGAAAAATCATTTTGAATCTTTATTTAATGTTATTAACTATGAAAATTTTGAAGAGATTGATTCAATTCTACCAGAGCATATAGATAATGATATAGAGTTTTCAATTTTTATATCGGAAATTACAGACGAAGAAATCTTAAGGGCTGTAAAAGAACTTAAAAGAGGAACTTCGGGGGGTGAAGATGATATTATTCCAGAATTTTTTATTAACGGTATTGATTTATTGATTCCTTTAGTTAATAAGATATTTAATAGATTATACAATAATGGTGATTTTCCGGAATCATGGAGTAAGGCAATTATTGTTACTATACATAAAAAAGGAAATATAAATTCCACTGATAATTATAGAGGTATTTCTCTTTTAAATATATTTAGCAAGATTTATACTAGTATTTTGACACGGAGACTAACTTATTATGTTAATATCTTTAATAAAATTAGTGAACCACAAGCTGGATTCCGAGAAGGTTACTCGACAATTGATAATGTTTATGTACTTCAAGCAGTTATTGACAAACAGTTATCAAAGCCAGGTGGTAAACTCTATGTAGCATTTATTGATTTTATGAAATGTTTCGATTTGATAAATAGACATAATATTTGGCAAGCTTTAAAACAAGCCGGTGTAAAAGGTAAATTATATAATGCAATATTTGGTATGTATCGGTCGGTGCAGGCTTGTGTTAGAACTGATGAAGGGCTAACTGAATATTTCAGCTGCCCCATAGGTCTAAAACAAGGTTGCATGGCTTCGCCAATTCTGTTTTTAGTTTTTATTGATGAATTAATTAAACGAATTGAAAATAGTGGAATCAGAGGTATCCAGCTGTTCCCAGATACAACTGAGTTATCATCTTTATTATTTGCAGATGATTTGGCCTTAGCTGCAGATACTGTTGTTAGCCTTCAGAAGTTATTAAATTTGGTAAAAAATTTCTGTGATGAAAAAAATGTAAAAGTTAATCCTGTAAAATCAAAAGTAATGGTTTTTAAGAAAGGTGGGAAATTAGCGAAAGGGGAGAAATGGTTTTATGATAATCAAATTCTTGAAGTTGTAAGCAATTTTAGTTATGTAGGTGTAACATTAACACAACAGTTGTCCTTAAACAGAATGGCTAGTGAACAAGCGTCTAAAGCAAAAAGAGTACTTATTTCTATACTTACGCAATTATATGACTACGGACAGTTACCCCCAAAAGTATTTTTTAATATTTTTGACACAAAAATTAGCCCTATTTTACTTTATGGATCAGAAATATGGGGTATACACAAGTTAGTACAGCCAGAGTTAGTGCATAACTATGCATGTAAAAGATATTTATGTGTGAAAGAAAAAACAATTAATGCAGGTGTCCTAGGTGACTGTGGGAGATTTCCTATGTTTATAAATTCTGCTAAAAGAGCTGTAAGATATTGGTGTAAAATACTCAAAATGGGTGAGCACAGATTAGTTAAAAAATGCTATTTTATGCAGTTGTTTTATGATAGTACAGGGAAAACTAATTGGTGTACTGGTATTCGTAATTTATTATGTAAAAATGGTTTTGGCTACATTTGGTATAATCAAACAGTCAATAATGAAGACTATTTCATAAATTCTTTTGTACAAAAATTAAAGGACCAATATCTACAAGAATGGCAAACAATTATAAATGATAGTTCTAAATTGTATGCGTATAGACAGTTTAAATGCAATATCGAACATGAATATTACTTAACCGTAGTGACAATTAGAAAATTCAGAAAAGCTCTTGCCAAACTTCGGTTGTCCTCCCATGATTTAGAAATTGAAAAAAGTAGATACCAGAATATTTTAAGAGAACAAAGGATATGTAAATTATGTCACGAAGCAATTGGAAATGAATATCATTTTGTTTTAGTTTGTAAAAAATTGTCTTTGATTAGAGAAAAATACATTGACAAAAAATTCTTTAATAATCCTAATAATCATAAATTTAATGTTCTAATGTGCTCTCGCTCTGATAATGTTATAACAAATTTAGCTATGTATGCATATTATGCATTCAAAGAGAGAAATGATATATTAAGTAATACAGATACTGACAGTTAGAAATCATTAGGATATACTTACTATATTGTTGAGATCACATTCTTGGAATCATTTTCTATGTTATAACACAGATACTTAAATTTGAAATTATTATTATAAAATATTTGAGAATATGCTTATAATATCATGAATGTTACTTTTAGGTATTGTTTAGTTTGTTGTATTCAATTTTGAATACGTTTGTACAGTGATGAGATATATGGATTTACTTTTCATTTCGGGCAATGTTGTACAAAGCTTAAGACTGATCAAAACACTATTGCCTTTTATGTTAAGGCTATAGTATGTTTTCCTTATTTTGCAATGAATAGCCATAAGTGAAGATCTTATGTTTTGTTTTTCGTTAAGATCGACACGCATTTTGGTAAATTATTCAACAATAGTTCTGTGTGTTTCAATATAAACATTATTAGGAATTACATTGATCTGTACTGACACCAGTCAAGAAATTATATGTAAATGTATATATTGTTGTAATGGGCCGGTGGCCAATATCAATAAATAAATTGTCATTGTCATTGTCATTGTTGAGAATGGTGTTATCTTTCTTCAAGTGTTAGTCGAAAACATGTACATCTGTGATGTTTTGTTCTTATTCAAAGGCAGATATAGTATGTATATAATCAAACATGTACAGTTGATCAATATATTTTTCTGACTGATTGATTAAGTATGATACCATAACGTGACCCTATCAAATGTACGATGATGCCTTCAAACAGTTATTTTTGATGTTTGATGACAGCTTGCCAATAGCATCGTGTTTATACTGTTTTGTCATAAAAAAAAGATACCACGCTCTTTCCAGTATAATACACCAATGCACATATTAGGTCTCAGATGACATTTTTATTGTTTATAATCCGGGATTATATTTCAAAATTTATTTTAAATTGAACCTACCTCTATACAACATGAATTCCAATGACAATCTATTAATCATATTTGAATTTGCATTATTAATCATATTGGCGCTTGTGTATTTCTTATGTTGTCAGGTTTCTTTAAATATTAAGCATTTTCCTTTTATCACTTGAAAAATATTGTACCGATATTGGACACATATGTGTATCTTATTGTCGTTTTCTTTCTTTTTTTCTGAAAGCTGAATGATATAAAAGTGCTTAGTTTCTTAAAAATTCTTAACCATTGTCAATATTTTCTTTGTGTTGTTTAAACTTCGGTTTGATCTTGCTATCGTTGGATATTTTAATATAATTTTAAAAGTCTCGGATAACTGAAAATTATATACTTATTTTCTTTTCATATATTACGCTACATTATCTTGCAATACACATAGTTATATGATAATATCACTCCTAATATATTGTTCATCATTATCTAATTAAAATCAAATACAAGTAATTTTGTTATTACATTCACGCGTGTATATATTCAAGCTTTATATTTTGAAAAAGAATATTGTCATGAATTTTCCCTGTTTATATGTTATTAATTGAAATTTTAGGTAAAAACAAATCTCTTTGACTGGTTAGTATGTGTAAGAATGTCATACTAAGCAAAAGGAT